TTAAAGGTTCACCATCTTCTGTTAGTAGACAATATGAAATATTTCCCTCCATAGAATAATCTGAGTGCAAACTGGTTGTTTCCTCTCCCGAGTTGATTGTCGAACTTCTGAAGTTGAAGACTCAGCTTGCTCTTGTTCATCATGCTCTATTGTTGCCTCAGGGGAAACTGGAATTTCTTCTTCCTTCCTTCCCTCAACTTGTACTGTAGCTGTCATTGGTTTCTCCTTTCCAGTGCTTTCACTTTCTTGTACCTTGTCTTCTACAAATAGAACATCCCTGCTGATGATAACCTTGTGGGCAGTGGGATCCCACAGGTGATACCCCTTCACTCTATCAGCATACCCCAAGAAAACACATTTTCTTGATTTTGGATCAAGTTTTGATGTTTCTTGGGCGTTGTATATCACATATGCCGGACTCCCAAATGTATGTAAGTGAGAATAACTAGATGGCTTACCCGTCCACATCTCCATTGGCATTTTCAGATCAATTGCGGTTGATGGTGACCGATTGATCACATAACAGGCAGTCTTGACTGCTTCAGCCCAAAATGAATTTGCCAAATTTGCAGTCCTCAACATTGCCCTTGTTTTTTCCAGCAAGGTTCTGTTCATCCGCTCTGCCACTCCATTTTGTTATGGAGTATACGCCACTGTGAACTGTCGTTTGATACCTTCTTGCAAACAGAATTTACCAAATTCATCACTAGTATATTCTCCTCCATTGTCCGACCTCAAACACTTGATCCGTTTCTCGGATTCAAGTTCCACACGCGCTTTGAAGAATTTGAAAACTTCAAATACATCCGCCTTCTGTTTGATTGGATACACCCAACATCTCCTCGAGTAGTCGTCGATGAAGGATACAAAATATTTTGCACCTCCCAGGGATATAACTGGTGCTTGCCAAACATCAGAGTGGATAAGCTCCAAGATAGCCTTGCTCCTTGCTTTAGAGCTCTCGAACTTCAATCTATGCTGCTTACTTGTAACACAATGCTCACAAAAGGGTAATGATACCTTTGTTAGCCCTGGCAGAAGATGTTGATCAGCAAGAATCTTTAGACCTCGTTCCGATATGTGGCCAAGTTTTTGATGCCACATCATCGTTGATTCCTCTATAAGATTGTCTGCTGCAACGGCTGCTTCTCCTTGTAGTTGTGTTTCTCCTTTAAGCATGTATAGATTGGCTGCTATCTTTTCAGCTTTCATAACGACAAGCGCGCCCTTGATAACTTTGATGATCCCATCCTGAATGTGAATTTTACATTCACGGCTATCTAATTGCCCTAAAGACAACAGATTTTTCTTTAGGCCTTTCACGTGTCGTACCTCTTGGATAGTGCGAACTGTACCATCAAACATTTTTAGTTTGATAGTACCTAAGCCAGCAATCTCTAAGGCATGGTCGTCTCCCATGAACACAGATCCTCCAGAGACAGGTTTATATTCATGAAACCATTCTTTTCGTGAGGTCATATGCCATGTTGCTCCAGAGTCCATTAGCCAGACATCAGCTAGACTTTTCCTGCCTTCAACAATCGTTGCTGCTTCACCAAATAAAACTTCGCATTCATCCGATGTACTCACAACACATCCCTGAGCATTTGATGTCTCGGGATTTTTGCCTTTGGTCTCATCCTTCTTGAGTTGCCAACACTCATTCTTGTAGTGCCCCTTTTTGCCACAGTGAAAACACTTGACATTCTTCTTACCCCTTGACTTTGATCTACCTCGGTTGTGACTCCTACTGGAGCCAGGCACCGTTGATTTTCCTCTCGTCACTGTCAACGCCTGAGATTGTTGTGAAATTCCAACTTTGTCTTCTTTGTTTTTGCGCCGACTTTCCTCTTCAAGAACCGCAGCTGCAATATCATTGAAGACAAGTATCTCCTTGTTGTTGACCAAATTGATAATGAGTTGATCATATGAATCCGGTAGACTTTGGAGTAAGATTTCAGCACGTTCATTCACTTCTATTTTATAACTCAAAGCCGAGAGTTGAGAAAATAGAGTGTTGAGAGTGTTGATGTGCTCAGTTACTGAGGATGTCTCCATCATCCTGAGAGTGTATAATTTCCTCTTCAAGAAGATCTTATTGTGCAGTGATTTGGCCTCATACAAATTTACGAGAGTATCTCATACCTCTTTTGCCGTACCTTTCTCCGCCACACTTGACAAAACTTCATCAGCAAGTGCTAAGTGCAGATTGGCAATAGCGTTGCTATCCATTTCTGTCCACTTCGCATCGTCAGTGAAATCGGCCGATCTTTCTTCAATTGCTGCTACGCAGTTATCTTTCCTGAGAACTGCTTTCATTCTCATTTTCCACAAAGAGAAATTGTTCCCTTTGAACTTTTCAATCTCGTACTTGGCCGCTATGGTAAGTGGTGTTCTTGATTCAAATCCTTAACAATATATCTAAATAATATTGTATAATAGAATAATACCGGCCTTGTGAATTTACCAGTATTTATTCTAACATAGACAATACAAAAAAATATATCTATGAACCAACCTGAGGCTCTGATACCACTTGTTAGGATCGAAACTGGTTCACAACACCAAATTTACAATAGCAACTTGAACTGGAAAATATTGAGAATAAATTCTAGTGTAAGATTTAAAATAAAACATACACAGAGCAAAGAAAATTGAAGAAGAATTTTTTCTGTATTAGCAAAAGGATAATACAATAGGAATTACAAATATAACTCTCTATTTTCTCTCTACAAATTTGCTATGCTACTGGAGATTTTCGAATGGGATAATCCAAATGAATGAAGATGTTGCATATTTATAGCAACCAAAAAAGTCTAGAGAATTCCTAAGCATTTAATATTATATTAAATATTAATTGTCTAGGAACTTGCAATGCAAGAATTCCTCCCCTGCAAGTTTCCCCAAAAACCTCATCCCTAGCTTTTCCCTTGAATAAAACCTATGCCCCATGCTTTTCCCCTTTACAAACCTATGCTCCAAGCATTTAATGCATTTGTCTTATTCAAACTTCATCCCATGTTCCCTTAGGAAACCTCATCCCATTCCACATTATGACTTTAATATTTACAAGACCGATGTTGCATTTGCATGCTGTGTGTTTGTTGATAATGGCTGTACCTGTACCCTTAAGGGAGATGGCTTCGTCTCTATAGTTTAAGCACCATAAGATAATAAATAAATACTCAGAATATTTTGAGTATCAAACCACAGAAAGGTGATCAAAACGTAATAAGTGAAATATGCATTTGTAGTGTCAAGGCCACCAAAAGATATGTTTACAACTTAGCGAAAGGATTAGTCACTTTTTTCGACAGTAGAAACTCCTAGTGTATCCAAAAAAAAAAAAGAATAATTTTCATGAGATAATTTGACCAAAAATGTGAGAAAAGCAAATTGTGGTTTAAATAACAACTAACAATCAACATTTATTAGTTGGCATAAGAGATGTCGAAATTCAATCTCAGGTCTGCATTGTCCAAAATCCAACTGATTAGATGGTGGCTCCAAAGAGATTGGAAGATCTCTCTCTGTAGCATCATCCGGGAACAAAACGAGAGTGCAAATGCGCTTGTCTCATGGTGTGTCAACATGAGTATCCCATGGCGCAATCTTCATAACTGCCCCCCTGGTGTGGACGAGATCATAGAAAAGGATAGAATGCGCACACTTTGAATGCGTAGAGGCCATAGCTAGATGCCCTGGGTCCCCCCTCACCCTGATAAAAAAAAAAAAAAAAGATTTACAAACAATTTACACTAAAAAATATTAACCAATCACGGCTAATATTGTGGTGTCCTTGATGCCTTTGTCAAAAAGTGTGGGATATATATTTTTTTGTGCTTTTCGATTATTAAAATAAAGTTTTTTTATAGTAAGAACAAATGATGGTCAAAAATGAAATTTGTGCAATTTAAAAATTGCAGAGCTGAAGCATCTAGTTGCAAAGTAGTGTTGTCTCATTGCGGTGAGCGTTGACAAAAAAATTTCTTGACCACATTATTTACTATTGTTAAAACAAATTTTTTTATATAAGTTGCGACATTTTGAGTTAACTTTTCAATAATAATAATAAGAGAGCGTGTGACCTTTGCATTGATTTGTCTATATTATTAAGATCTCAAAGCTCCAAATTTAAACTCTTTGAGGATGTTTTCTTACTCAAAAATCATTCTTGCATTGCTACATCCCGAAATAATCCTAAAATGTCAAAACCATGCAATTATTCATCCATTAAATCAAATTCAATGAATTTATTCATTTTAGGACAAAATAAATTAGATAAAACAAAAAACTAATCAATAAAGCATGTCAAAGTGTGTTTATTTTGTGTAAAAGAAGTGAGTCATTTGAAGGAAGTGTCATATTGCAAAGTTTTGGACCAAACTTCAATTCGTTCTAATGTGGAGAATTATATTGTACATGAATTATATATATATATATATATATATATATATATATATATATATATTATTATTACTTTTTCTTAAAAAAGAAAATGTATAAAGAAAAATATAGTCATATGTAAACTTTTGTCTTATAGTGTGTGGTTATTAATTTTGTGATGTTTGTAATAATTAACTTATATATACTATTGTTTATTGAAAATTTGAAACAATCGAACATAATTAATCATGCCAAAAAGTTGTGTAAATTTGTAATTTTTAATTTTTTTATTTTTTGGACGTGGTTATTGTTGTCATACAATAGTTATAGTGTGGATCACGGTCCAATAACGATATTATTTTGCTTAATTTTATTTTTATGTGCACCCAAATGTAACATACATTTTTATAATTTATAATGTATATTATTCTAAAGCATAATGTATATTATATTACTCCAAATGTTTAATTATTCTAAATACGTAATGTGCATTATTCTAACATAAAAATATTCTATTTAATATTTACGATATTTTGGACCGTGATCTACACAACACGTTCCACACAATAATTTGCCATTGTTGTGATAATGAACTTATATATACTACTAGTACTGGTGTAGGTTTTGTTGTTCAAAAGTTTCTTCCCTACTTATCCTCATCCTCGCTTTGGAGCTGTTTATCCAACGCCGCCGCATAGGAGACAGTGAATTCTCAGCCGTACGTCAATAATCCTCTCTCGATAGGTCAAGATCCCAATGCTAAAAGCGTCCAATTGGTGTTCTTAGGATTTCCCTGCGTCGGAATGGGGGCTTACGGTAGTCGACTTTCTACACTCTTCGGAGGTCAGCAGATCGCCACCGGCGACTGCAATTTACTCCCATTCAAGCGTATGCGTTAGCTATTTTTTTTAAAGGTTGAGGTGGGATGGAATTTTGCTCTTGTTAAGGCAATAAATTAGAGTCTCTGATGCGCTTTGTCCATGGCGTTTTCAGCGCTGTACGTTGCCGATAATGAAATGGAGCTGAGATTCTGGCATTCCTTTCTGTTACCGGGAATCTTATGCATTCAGATGTTCCTACACTCCTTGTCTGTTTAAGTATTTGTTGTCTATGCTTTTTCTGTTAGTTGTTTCTTCGAAGGCAATAAATTAGAGTCTCTGATGCGCATTGTCCATTGTGTTTTCAGCGCTGTACGTTGCCGATAATGAATTGGAGCTGAGATTCTAGCGTATCTTTCTGTTTTCCAGAAAGTGTATGCATTCAGACGTTCCGACACGCATAAATTTGCCCAAGTATTTTGAGTTCTATTTTTTTGTCATTCGGTTCCTTGAAGGCAATAAATTAGAGTCTCTGATGCGCATTGTCCATGGCGTTTTCAGCGCTGTACGTTGACGATAATGAATTGGAGCTGAGATTCTGGCATGTCTTTCTTTTTTTTTTCGGAAGGTATATGCATTCAGATGGTCCAACATTATAAATCTGGTGCTGATATGCGTGCGTGATTTTATACGTTGCATATGAATGAGATAAATATCTTAAATGCAGTATTAATTTTCACAAATTTCTTTTCATACAGTTTTTATTTGTTTACTGGTGCAAATAAGGAAGGTGATGATTGTTATTTGTCGCCCCAGTCTTAGTTGCGTTCATGGATGCAACATGGTGATTGACATGTCATTTCTGATTCCATTTTGCCTATTTTGAGTTGCATTTGACATAGGGTTTGTTAACTACTTCTAGTTAGGAACATATGCAGATATGCAAGGAGGTGTGATGATTGTTATCCATATTAATCTGTATGTTTCAGTGATGATTTCAAAACATGCACTACCATCTGATCTCTGTTGCATATCTCATGTTTTTAGTGTTGTATTCTGACTTCGTTGATGCAATCAATGATGCTATTTACCCAAAACTTCTGATGTACATGTACTGTGATTGTCATTAAAATTATCACCATCTTTCCACTGAGGTTGCATCTGAACTCTGAAGCTTATCTACAATTTTCTGTTTCTCTGTTTTCAATTTCTGATGTCATCTATCATTTCTCTTTCTACAAATGTACAAGAAGTTCCCGTGCTGCAGTCTCTGGTTTTTTCTTCACTGTGGTTTTTTTGAAATTGATACTTGCCTGTGGTATCTAATGTCCAGAGTGTTTGTATTGCTGGATGTTTCGTTTTGAGGGCATAAATATGAAGCAGATCTTGCGACACAGCTAGCTTCTTTTCTAAAAGCTATCTGTTACATTTTACCTGCTTACATTGTACTATAAATTTTTATGCAGTACAAGTACATAATACTCATATTATTGAAAAAGCAGTTATGCGTGTATATGAAACGAACTCTTTTTATTGTTTGAAATGTTGTTGTTGGTTTACAATCCTGTTTTGAATTGTTATAATTTGTTTATAGTAAGATAAATTAAAATAAGGACTTACATTGTCAAAAACATGAAAACTATTCCCTGACAGTGTTTGCTTCTTGGGGGATTACTTTCAAAGTTTACAATAAAAGTGGTGTAGTGCTATTTATATTGGATATGGACTGTTTATAAGCTATGCACTTTCACTGTTGTTTGTTCTTTTGTTTAGTTTTTCAGTTTGTAATTCTTGCAATGAAGTAATGACTTGGTAATTTTTCTAATGCAGGGGGTGTATGAGAATTGCACCTTTTTGTAATTTTTTTAATGGTTTTAAATTTTCCAAAATTGACATATGGTTAAGCTTTGGCTCTTAATGGATTATTTTATTGGGAAGGTCTTGGTCCAATGGATTTGTTTTTTATTGAGAAGGATTTGGCTCAAAAATAAAAGTTTTTGTGAGCTAGGTGAAATAGTGTACCTAAAGAGAGCATAAGGATGTATTGCCAATAGGTTTTTGAACCCACAACCTTCAACTTGGTAAATATTCACCAAAATATGAAGTTAAACACATGTTAAAAGGTAGAATGCTCAACTTATTCATGTGAAGAGTGTTTGGTGATATGTATGGTTGTTGACAAATGTATATTTTTTCATTTTTAGTCATGTGTCTTCTGCTACACTTCTCATTTTAATAAGTTGAGCATTTTGTCATTTGGTTCATGAAATGTGATTAGCTTAGTGGGTTTGGTGTGTTATCAAGTTGGGTTGATGGTGTTATATCTTTTCTGGCAGTAATTCCACATTTAGTTATTTCTTACTTTATTATTTCATCCATAGATTTTAATTTTTAATGTCAAAAACTTCGTTACTAAAATTGTGGGTCAAAATCTTTCCAATAAAGTAGTTCCTTTGGGCATAGGGCTCCATCATTAGTCCCTCACTATCTTTGATTGGTAGAAAAAGTATACATATTCTATTCTTCACATCTTTCCTAATGGGATGAAATGTTATCTCTTTTACATGTGTTGGTCTCTCTCTTTTCCTTTGTCTTGTGCAGGTTATTGAGCTGCCTTCTTACGCGAGTAAATTTGATGATTTTAAAATTGTTTGAGCTATGCTTGTTCGTTTGGGGTCTCTCTTTGTGGTCTCTTAGTGGTGTAAAATGTTTCTCTGTTCCATGCACTTTGTGTAGGAATGCTTGTATCTTGAAATTAAGTGTGATTTGTAAGTTCTTGTGAAAGTGTGAAGGGTTTCATCTATTTTCCACACATAGAACTGTACAGATTACAATAATTTATACTGGAAACTAGCTATAACCTAATGGACCCACTATAACGGGCCTAGGGTTTCAACACTCCCCCTCAAGCTGGAGAGTATAGATCATAAGCTCCAAGCTTGTTACAAATATATTCAACTCTAGGAGCTCTAAGGGATTTCGTCAAGATATCAGCTAACTGATCTGCAGAATTGACAAAGCTAGTTTTAATACACCCTGACACAATCTTCTCTCTAATGAAGTGGCAGTCAACCTCAATGTGTTTAGTTCTTTCATGATAAACAGGATTTGACGCGATGTGTAGAGCTGCTTGATTGTCACATATCAACGTCATTTGGGCAACATTGCCACATTGCAATTCTTGTAGTAGGTGTTTAAGCCACATAAGCTCACATGTGGCAAGCGCCATGGCTCGATATTCTGTTTCAGCACTGGACCTAGCGACCACATCCTGCTTCTTACTTTTCCAAGATATGAGATTACCTCCAATGAGAATACAGTAACTTGAAGTAGAGCGTCTGTCAAATGGGCAACCAGCCCAATCTGCATCACAATACCCAACAACTTGTGAATGTCCTCTATCTTCATATAATAAGCCTTGTCCTGGTGCTCTCTTGATATACCTTAGGACACGAACAACAGCATCCCAATGAGAATCACAAGGCGTCTCAAGAAACTGACTCAACACACTAACTGCGAAGGAGATATCCGGTCGTGTGATCGTGAGATAATTCAGTTTTCCAATTAATCTCCTATATCGCTCTCGGTCAGGCAATGGCTCCCCCTGTCCTGGTAGGAGTTTAACATTCGGATCCATTGGATTATCAACTGGTCTACTGTCCAACATGCCAGTTTCTTCTAAAATATCCAAGGCATACTTCCTTTGAGAAATAACAACACCACTGCTAGATTGAGCCACTTCAATTCCAAGAAAGTATTTTAGCTTACCCAAATCCTTAGTCTGGAACCGACTAAAGAGATACTCCTTCAACTGAAATATGCCTTCTTGATCACTCCCTGTAATAACAATGTCATCCACATATACAACAAGGTATATGCATTTCTCATTAGAATGACGATAGAAAACAGAATGATCAACCGCACTTCTAGTCATACCAAACTCACATACCACAGAACTAAACCTTCCAAACCAAGCTCGTGGAGATTGCTTTAAACCGTATAAAGAACGGTGAAGTTTACATACCAGACCAGACTCCCCCTGAGCAACAAACCCAGGTGGTTGCTCCACATAAACCTCCTCGTGAAGATCACCATGAAGAAAGGCATTCTTGATATCCAGCTGGTGCAAGTCCCAATGATGAATGGCTGCCAAAGACAAAAGTAACCGAACTGAAGCAATTTTAGCAACCGGGGAAAAAGTATCAGTATAATCCAAACCAAAAATCTGAGTATAGCCTTTCGCCACCAGTCGAGCCTTAAGACGATCAATTGCGCCATCAGGGCCCACCTTCACCGTATAAATCCATCTACAACCAACCACAGTTTTACCAGCAGGAAGAGGAACCAACTCCCACGTGCCACTAGACTGGAGGGCCTCCATCTCTGTTAATATGGCTTGACGCCAACCTGGATCCGAGAGAGCCTCACGAGTGGATTTGGGTATGGACACAGAAGACAGGTGAGAAATAAACGCAAAGTAAGGGGAAGAGACACGGTGATAACTCAGAAAGGTATATATAGGATGGGGGTTACGAGTAGAACGTGTACCTTTTCGAACAGCAATAGGTGCCTCAGCAAGATCAGTGTCAGATTGCAGTGGAGGTGGTGGAATTGCAGCCGGAGGATCGGACAGCACTGGCAAGTCACTAGGGACCTCAGGGACTGCAGGGCGAGGACGCCGGTGATAAACCTGAAGGGGCGGGTTAAGAGCAGTCGGTTGAACTGAAGGAACAGTGGACTGGACAAGAGGAAGTGAACCAAGATAAGGTACGGGGAGCACCTCAGAAACAGGGATTGTGTCTCCTGAGTTGGGCTGGAAAAACGGTGTGGACTCAATAAAGGTGACATCTGCGGACACAAAGTGGCGTTTTAGTGCTGGAGAATAACACCTATAACCCTTTTGGACACGAGAATAACCCAAAAAGACACACTTGACTGCTTTAGGATCTAATTTGGATCGACCTGGAGTCATGTCATGAACAAAACAAACACACCCAAAAACACGTGGAGGAACAGGGAAAGGATCAACAGAAGGACACAATAGAATATGGGGTGTCATTATTGAGAGCAGAAGATGGCATGCGATTGATTAGGAAACAAGCAGTAAGGATAGCATCAGCCCAGAATTGGGAATGAACATGGGAGTGTAACAACATAGTACGGGCAATTTCTACTAGATGTCTATTCTTACGCTCAGCCACCCCATTCTGCTGAGGTGTGTAAACACATGACCTTTGATGCAATATACCACGAGATGTCATATATGACTGAAAAGAATTAGAGAGATATTCTTTAGCATTATCACTACGCAAAACACGAATGAGTTTGCCAAATTGAGTTTGTATTTCAGCACAAAAAGTTTGAAAAATCTGAAACAATTCAGAACGATCTTTCATAAGGAAAACCCAAGTGCACCTTGAATAATCATCAATAAAGGTTACAAAATAACGAAAATCCAAAATAGAGTTGACACGACAAGGACCCCATATATCTGAATGAACTAAATCAAAGAGGGACGCAGCCCGATTATTGACTCTTTTCGGAAAAGACTGACGTGATTGCTTTCCAAGATGACACGACTCACAATCAAAAGACTCAATAGACAGACCTGGGACCATCCGTTTTAGTTTAGAGAGACTAGGATGACCCAAACGACTATGAATAAGTAAAGGAGACTCTGTAGAGGCAGAAGCAGCAACATCACCACCCTGCATGTAATAGAGGCCCTGTGACTCATTGCCGGTGCCAATCACCCTCCCCGTACTGCGATCCTGCACAACAACCGAATCAGCACAAAAGGTTATGGAACAATTGAGAGTACGGGTAATTTTACTCACAGAGATAAGGTTGAAGGGACTGTTAGGGACATATAAAACAGACTCCAACGAAAAAGATGATATAGGGGAAGCCTGACCAACACCAATTGCTGGTGTTTGATGACCATTAGCTAAGGTGACCATGGGTAAAGTCTTAGACTTAGACACATTATGCAAAAGAGAAAGGTTACCGGAAATATGATCTGAAGCACCTGAGTCCAATATTCAAGAATTTGGAGTATTGGTGTGTGAAAGACAAACCAAAGATGAAGTACCAGCATTAGGTGTGGAAGATTCAAGGCGGGATGCTGCTTTAAGTTGGAGATACTCTTCATATTCCCTAGAGGTCATCTCAACTGGGGTAGAGGTTGGCTCATGAGTCTGACTCTCGGATGCAGCGGCATGGACCAGATTAACAGGACGGGGAGGCCGACCATGTAACTTCCAACAACGATCTTTGGTATGACCATCTTTGTGGCAGTATTCACACCGAGGACGTTTGCCACGACGAACACCACCACCACTAGATGGTCCAGAAGGTCCTCTATCCACAGCCCGAGTAGCTAGAACTGATGATTCTCCAATAGGTTCAATCGAGGGAGTTGAGGCAATACGAAGCAGTCTGGCAGCGGCTTCAGTGTAGGTAGGCACACTAGGACTAGATAGAATCTGATCACGAATGTGAACCTGGTCAGGCCGAAGGGTAGCCAAGGTCATCACCATAAAGAACTTATCATACTGCTTCGCATGATTTTCTGACGTCTCCTGATATGGAAGTAAATTATGATACTCCTGCTGTAAAGCTTCCATCCGACCCAAGAAATCCTGTGTACTCATATCAGCAGTGGAACGAAAATTAAGCATATTAGACACAAGGGAATATAGCCTTTGGATATCATTAGTATACAATGACTTAGCTTTATTCCACACATCATAACAGGTTTCATAAGACTTGTAAATAAGATAAAGTTTAGGGTCAATGGATTGCCACAACATATTGCACAACAACGCATCTGACTTTTCCCAATCTGATTTCTTCGATTCTTCAATTTCCCCAACCTTTCTGGTTAGATGGTCAGACATACCCTGGCCTTTGAACCAGAGTTTTACAGAAGCAGCCCATGAAGTATAGTTTTCACTCCCAACCAACTTGTCCATAGTAATAGTAGGATACGAGGTAAAAGATGAAGCCATACCAACAAAATCAACAAACAGTGTAGAGGTTACCAACAAAATCAACAAACAGTGTAGAGGTTACCAACAAAATCAACAATCTGTAGTGTTTCACTGTTTCTGGCCGGCGGTGGTCGGCGGCGGCGATGGCCGGAAAACGGCGGCGGCGGCCGGAGCACGGCGGCAGGGAAAACAGCCAACACTGCCGGAAGCGTCTCGACGAGACGAGTCCAATGGTGGTAACGGTGTCTCGATCGGAGATCGGAGGAGAGAGATATGGCCGGAAAACAGCAGCGGATTCCGGCGGACGGCGACGGCGCGTGGCGGCGCGTGCGGCAGCGGACGGCGACCGGATTCTGGGCACAGACTCGTGACGAAGCTCCGGTGAAGCCTGTGGTCTCGGTTTGGGAGAAGAACCACCAGGCAGAGGTCGGAGAGAGAAGATCAGTCGCGGCGGCGGCGCGGCGGCGGGGAAGAGAGGGGAAAACCTATCTAGGGTTTAGGCTCTGATACCATGTGAAAGTGAAGGGTTTCATCTATTTTCCACACATAGAACTGTACAGATTACAATAATTTATACTGGAAACTAGCTATAACCTAATGGACCCACTATAACGGGCCTAGGGTTTCAACAGTTCTGAAGTGAGTGGAAATGGTTATTTGTGTAAAGTTACAATCCTTGCCAGACCATGATGCTGTTGTTTGATGAGAAAAATTGTTGCATGCTGTGTGTTTGTGGATGATGGCAGTACATCTTAAAGGGTGATGGCTTTGTCTCTATAGTTGCGTCTTTAGTATGAAACCACAGAATGCTGATCAAAACGTAACAAGTGAATTATTCATTTGTAGTGATAAGTAGAATAATCTCCACTCATTAGATAATTAGACCATTAATTAGTGTTGCAAAAATCATGTATATGGTGCCTGATTCATCGGTGCTCGGCAGTGTTGACGAATGTTGAAATTGGCTTCCTTTGCATCCGGCTGCCTAGGTGGCTGAACCGCAGTTTTTTTATAAAAATAAACAAAAAGAAGAAACAAGAGTTATTTAGCTGGTATGGAACAAGAAGAGGGGGCTGATGTGTTGATTCCTTTGCTGGGTTTGGAGATGTAATTTTGCTCTTGTTAAGGCAATAAATTAGAGTCTCTGATGCGCATTGTCCATGGCGTTTTCAGCGCTGTACGTTGCCGATAATGAATTGGAACTGAGATTCTGGCATGCCTTTCTCTTTTCCTGGAAGCGTATGCATTCAGATGCTCCAATATTATATATCTGTCCAAGGTTTTTTCCGTGATGTTATACGCTGCATATGAATGAGATAAAGATCTTCAATTTTGTGTTTATTTTCGCAAATTTGTCTTCATACATTTTTATTCATTTACCAGGTGCAAATAAGGAAGGTGATGATTGTTTTTTGTTGCCCCAGTCTTAGTTGTGTCCATAGATGCAACATGGTGATTGACATGTCATTTCTGATTCCATTTTGCCTCTCTGAGTTGCATTTGGTGTTGCTTTTTTTAACTGCCTATAGTTAGGAACATATGCAGATATGCAAGGAGGTGTGATGATTGTTATCCATCTAAATCTGTATGTTTCAGTGATGATTTCAAAACATGCACTACCATCTGATCTCTGTTGCATATCTTAGGTTTGTAGTATTGTATTCTGATTTTGTTGATGCAATCAATGATGCTATTTACCCAAAACTTCTGATTTACTGTGATTGTCATTAAAATTATCACCATCTTTCGACTGAGGTTGCATCTGAACTCGGAAGCATATCTACGTTTTTTGCTTCTCTGATTTCAATTTTTTTGGAAATAGTGCATGTATCTGTTCTAGATTGATGAATGTATGTAAAAAATAAGTGTCCACTAGTGGCTTGTTTAATGGTGTAAAATGATTTGATAACAATAAAATTTCTTTTACTGTTCTTGGAGTTGTATAGTGGCTTTTACTTTTTTGAATTTATCAGCTTTGGTAACTTATGTTAGTTATTTTTTGGGGTTGTTTACTAGTTAGGGTCACAGGGTTTTCTTCACATAGCACACCTGGCAGGCTTTTCTTTAAATTAAAAGGAGTAATAAAATTAGATTGTGTAATGTTGCACTTTGTGTAAATAATGTGGTACAAATCCTGCCGGACCATGATATCGTTGTTTGACCAGAAATGTGAGGAAAGCAAATTGTGGGTTCCATAAATAACAACAAACAAATGAAACAATCAGCATTTTATTAGGAAACTACAATAGGCAAATAGATTTACAAACAATTTACAGTAAAAAAAAATATTAACCAATCACGGCTAATATGTTGATTGTAAGAAGTGTGGGATCTACTTTTTTTTTTTTTCGATTAATTTATAGTAAGAACAAATGATGTTCAAAAATAAAATTTTGGAAGAATTTAAAAATTGCAGAGCTGAAGCTTGAAGGCATCTAGTTGCAATGTAGAGTTGTCTCACTGTAGTGAGCGTTGACAAAAAAATTTCTTGACCACATTATTTACTATTGTTATAAAATTTTGAGTTAACTTTTCAATAATAATAATAATAAGAGAGCACGTGACTACCTTAAAAAAAAAAGAGAGCGCATGTGGCCTTTGCATTCATTTGCCTATATTATTTAAGATTTCAAAGCTCCAAATTTAAACTCTTTGAGGAGTTTTCTTACTTAAAAGTCATTCTTGCATTGATACATCCCGAAATAATCCTAAAATGTCAAAACAATTCAATTATTCATCTATTAAATCAAATTCAATGACTTTATTCAGTTTAGCACAAAATAAATTAGAACAAGAAAATTAATCAATAAACCATGTCAAAAACCAATATGGTTGGCGTGGTGGTTCAACACATCGTCCCCTAAGCATGAGGTTGGGGGTTTGATCCCAACCGTGTGAATGGAGCAAATCATTTGGCCAGTCACTTACAACTTGATGTGCTAACAGAGTTGGGATGTCAAATTATCTTTATTTTTGTGTAAAAGAAGTGTCATATTGCAAAGTTTTGGACCAAACTCCAATTCGTTCTAATGTGGAGAATTATATTGTACATGAATTTTTATAATATATTATTACTTTTTTTTAAAAAAAAAAGGAAAATGTAAAAAAGAAAAATATTTCCCTACCCAAAAGTCATATGTAAACAGTAAACTATTGTCTTATAGTGTGTGGTTATTAATTTTGTGATGTTTTTAATTAACTTATATATACTATTGTCTATTGAAACAATCAAACATAATTTATCATGCAAAAAGTGGTGTAAATTTGTTTTTTTTTTTTTTTTTTTTTTTGGATGTGGTTATTGTGTGGACCACGGTCCAAAAATGATGTTGTTTTGTTTAATTTTATTTGTTTGCGCACCCAACTACAACATACATTTTTATAATTCATAATATACATTATTTGAAAACATAATATACATTATTGTAAAACATAATGTACATTATATTACCCTAGACTAGATATTTCATTATTCTAAACATGTAATGTATATTATTCTAACACGTAATGTACATTATTTTAACGCATAATGTATATTATTTTTACTTATAATATTCAGGACGATGTTTTGGATTGTGGTTCACATAATAATTTGCCGTTGTCATAATTAACTTATGAAACACACAAACATACTTTAATTTATACCTAGTACCTTCATGTTAGGTGAATTGTCATTTGACATAGTAAATCCATTAGCTTTTATTTAATAATTATATTAGGTGGAACTAGGTAGGGATGGCAACGGGGCGGGGCGGCGGGGGCGGGGAATGGGGTCCCCGTCCCCGTCCCCAAAATGTCCCCCCATTCCCCGTCCCCGCCCCGTTCCTCGGCGGGGATGGGGAATTATTCCCCGTCCCCGCGGGGATTTTTCGGGGACGGGGAATCTCCGCCTCGTTTTGATTTATGCCTACTTTTTAAAAAAAAAAAAAAAAAACACACACATAATATAATATGCATTCTTAACAAAATTAGAGAAACACAGTTTTGTTAAGGAAAAATCTTAATTCGCAAAGATGAAAAAAAAATCATCTACTAATACCATGAGAATATGCAGAGATAGAGAATGAAGAATATAATACATTTATGTTCAATAATAATTTAAACAAATAAACATAGCCTATTTATACAAGATATATGTACGGTATTACGGTAACAATGAACATAAAATGTATGTACCTAAACTAGAATACTAATTACATGGGAATTCAAGAATATGATTAAATATATACAACAGAGATATTAATTTATATATAATATTAATATTATTAGTCAGGGGGTCGGGGCCGGGGCGGGGAATGCCCTCCCCGTCCCCGTCCTCGGCGGGGATTGGAAAATTCCCCCCATCCCCGCCCCCGTTCCCCGAAATAAATCCCCGAACCCGTCCCCGTCGGGGGCGGGTTCAATTGTCATCCCTAGAACTAGGGGTGTCAAAGTGGGCCGAAGCCCGAGTTAGCCCGAACCCGCCCCGCAATGGGGCGGTTTAGGGCCGCAAGAAATTAGGCTCGCAAAAATGTGGGCCTAACGGGCATGGTCCGCGGAGGGCCAGAGCCAGCGCGGGTTGCGGGTCGGCACGCGGGCCAGACCATATTTGAAAAATAAATAAATAAATTATACATATAACATCTTTTTTTAAAAAAAAAAAAATCATATATATAATATCTTAATTCTCAGGCAATGTGTAGATCTAACTATCTAAGAATACGCAGAAGGGGAGAAATCCAATAATTCAATAATCCTTCGCCAATTCTTAATTCAATAATTCCTAGAGTACGTAGTTCTTCGGTTTTTCCGTCTCCATCCGCCTCCAACTCTATCAAATAATTACTTATAAAACTAAATCATCAATTCATACATATTTATTAATTAATAAATCACCTCCAAGTCTAGCAAACATACATATTTATATATGTATTATACACAGACGGGAATTGTAGTGGGAAAATCTGAAGCCGAGAGAGAAATCGAGTGTGCTATTGAACCCTAGCTTTGATCACCCTTCTACAGTTCTGCTGAACGCGCGGTATCGATCCGGGAAATTTGGGCGAGGTTTATGAATTTTATGGAAGTTTTTGGTGCCATATTTCAAGCGGTTTTAACATGTTTATATACTATCTATTTTTATTTTTTTTTTAATTTAAGTGATGGCCCGCGGGCCAGCCCGCGAGACCCGCAAGCCCGCATGGGGCGGGCTTGGGTTGTATAGTTCCAAGCTCGCGGGCTTCGTGGGCCGATCCGCCAAAGCCCGCCAAATAAAAAGCCCGCGGTGGGACGGGCCTAATGAGGCAGACCGGCCCGTATTGACACCCCTAGGTGGAACTACATACATACATATCATCATCAAATATGAAATACGGAGTACAATATTCTTTGGTTCAAAACCAATTAGATATGACAAATTGTTCGACCGAGATCTTGTGTCATGAGCACAACCGAGAGAAAATTTGAAAGAATCAAACTTAGAACTATAAAAATGATGTTTTATCAGTGGATCATCCCGCTAATAGTTTAATCTAACTAATAGAAATTTTGATATGGTAGAAGAAATTGGATTATATATCTCTGAATAAAGTGATATATCAAAAGTAAAAAAAGAAAAATGAAAATATGTACTAAATATTAACATATGAAAATTGATTTTAGTGCACAAAAGAAAAAGTAAAAAAAGGAAAAAATATTTCATAGGGCTTCATAGCTAGTAGCTTCCCAGTATATCATCACCATCTAGGTCGGAAGAATTAAGGTCCAGAAACAAATCCAGTGGGAACATGGCTTGAAACTGCTCATCCACCTGAGAACTGAACACCTGATCGTCCAACGGCGGCTCCGCCAGCGATTCGGAGCTCGTCGGCGACTCCTCGACGGAATTATTCACCATCGGGTACCGGAAGAACGACGGCGAGGAGTGACGACCTTCATTCTTCAGAGCGCCGAAGATCACTCCGTCGTCGCCGCCGGCGGCGGCGGCAAGGTCAGGGACAAATTCAAAATCGGTGGCGCCGTCGTTGGCCTCCATGATCCGGGCGGTGTCGGAGTGGCGTCCGGTGAGCTCCTGGACCAGCGACCGGAACCTGGACGCGCTGGTCTTAACCTTCATCGGAGTCGAAATGTAAACCACCTTAACCGCTTTCTCCTTCCTCGTCTTCCTCGTAGTCTTGTCGCGCTTCGATCCCACGTCCATTGCAGTTCTGTTCATGATCTTCCAGACAAGAATTCGGCGATTGAATTGAAGAACGAACCAAATCTTGAAAGTCTGTCGTCTAGGGTTTCAAGTGATTGGAAATGAGATCTGTTAGGACAACGTATATATAGAAGTTCCGGATAAGGAAACTTTGAAGTTTGGAGTTTCAAATGGCTGCTTCTTGGAAAGAGATGATGACAAGGCAACTCCTGAAAGACAACGTAGACTTTTGCACCTTTAGTCCTTATACTATACAATAATAATGAATTTAACCCATGTATCATGTATGTATTATAAGTGTGATCATTTTTATGGTTTCATTTCAAGTCTTTTCTTAGATTTTTGAATAATAATAATAATAATACATTTTTGAAGACTACTACTCCACGCCCTGGTCAGACAGAGTATCTCGAAGGATGTAAATCATGATAGGGCCCACGTCCCCCGATCAGACAAAGCATATGGGAGGATGTAAATCATGGTAGGGCCCAGACCCCGGTCAAATAGAGCATCTGAGAGAATGTAAATCATGGTAACTCAACTGAACACAGAGGCTAAACTTTTGCTTACTGCGCACAAGGAGCCCCCCGACCCTCACTTTGAGATGTTGCTCTTACACTGCCACTAGTGAGATTCGATCCTAAATTATTGTTTCCAAATTTCACCACTTTAACCAACCGAGTTACTCATGCAGACGAGAGATTCATTTCATGCTACTAGACCACAATGTCATTGAAAATCATAATAATACATTTAGTAACGAAATGATTAAAAAAATGCCACTTCATTGAGAACTAAAAATGATAATGTTGATAACACGGGTTAAATTTGTTATTATTTTATAATTCAAGGACTAAGAGTGAAATATTTATTTAAATAAAATAAAATTGGAGAAAATCCAGCGGTAGTTGATAAGGAAAAGGGAAGAGCAGTGGAAATACGATGAATGGAAGATTCGAAGGAGGATACTTGGGTGACCCGTAAAGTTTTGGCGTCGTTATGTGACAATATTATCATAAATTAACGTTTTATTTTTTCCCATGTACAATGTAAGGAGAAAAATGATACGGAGTATTTATTTATTTATAGGATAAAGATGAAAACCCACGTGCGCAGACTTAGATGACTGAAACGAAATAGATAGGAAACAGAGTGTGTGGAATTTTTTGGCTTTCTAGAAATAGACTTTTTGGACCGTTCCTAATTTTCTATCTTCATGTGATCACTACTTGTATGATCAATAATTGGACACGTACGGTTCTCCACTTTTCCATCCTTCTGAATTATAAGATTATAAAAATATAATAGTCATAATCAAGTTGGTCAGACAATTAATTTACGGAGTAACAAATTGTCAATATGTGTATATGATCAATTTATGTTGTTTTATCTCAGCTCATTGTGATCTTTGGTTAGCTAGGATAGTGATTGCTGACTTTTTCGTAAATCAAAGATTATAAATAAGTAGGGACAACTTCGACGGAGTTGGTCGAGCGGTTTGCTGTTTGATCAATGTACTCGTAGGTGATTGCGATCATTTACGAGAATCAAAAGATTATAAAAACGCAGAGTTTATTGTTGTGTACTCTCTGAAAAAGAAGGATTGCGCATAAATTTCGAGTGCTCCCTTTATATTTTCTTGAAGGTTGGTCAATTGTAAGATGTGTTTCAATGTGGTATACAAGTTTCATAATTGTTTATACATAGGTACTCGTAACTTTCATGTATTTTCTTGGTAAAAATCGAGCCATGCACCTAAGTTCCTAACATCTACTAGTAAAGTTAAGCTATAAATTTATTGTAGATTTGTCAACTAATTGAGCTATGTGCTGAAAATATAACAGTGGATATAACATTATTATTGTACCTAATAGTTATGAGTTTAATTATTTTTAACACTATATTAGTCGAGTCCGTCACATAAGATCTTTAATATTTTTTTATTTTGCGATAATAATTCCCACACCCACTGCATGAAAATTGTGCACATTGTAAACCTTACTCATGTGTAATAACCTTACTATAAAGATCATGTACGATGGACTCAATCAAAAAGATATTGACAAAAATCAAACTCGTGATTTTCAGTTACAAGAATTATGTTTCATCTACTTAATCATTATTTTCAAAAGTATGATATTTAATTTTAGTTGAAACAATGGTGAAATATTCTATGTCGACATAGTGAGAGCATTTAATGGGATAATTTAAACCTTTTCAGTATTATTGTATTCCTTTTCACAACACACAAGGGAAAAGGTTACTTGGTCCCTCAACTAAAGTTCAAAATAACTTTATTATATCATTATTATTTACTGTAAAAAGAGGACCAAGTTGGTGGAACTTGCAATTTGAGCCGCCGGGATTTTTTATTTTTTTTTATAAGATTAAATATATTACTGTGTGTGATCTGTTTCACTTTTATTTTTTATATGACAAGTAATAATAAATTATTTTAATCTTGTGAATTCTCAAGAAAAATGTCTACATTAAACATGAGTGAGTACACGTTTAAAGTATAGTTTAAAAGTTCAAGTAGTATTAATTTTTTATTCATTTTACGAATGTGAGTTGATTAACGACAATTGATTTAAATTATTTATAATTTAAAAGTTCATAATATTAAATTAAATATTAGTATATAAATTTTATATATTTAGAGACTATTAAAAATGTTATTAATAACAAAAACATTAAATTTAAAATTTATAAAAAAAAATAAAGAAAATAGATAAGAAGAAAAAAAAGTTAATTTAACACCGAATAGGTAAAATGGGATAACTAGGATCTTCCATAGTAATTCAATCACTTCAAATTTCGAATAAAAAAATAGCTTCATTCTAGCTTCTTAAATATAATTACATATTCGAGCTCTGTGAGTATGATAATGGGAGTGTTTGCAAGTAAATAGTTTATAGTTGATTGGGTTAGTAATTTGACTAGTTGATAACATTAACTGATTGTAAGAAGATGTTTGATAAATTAGCAGATAGTTGATTACATGCAAAATGAATTATATTTCTCAAGAAGCTGATCCAAAAAGATGCATTGAGCAACTTTTTAAATTTTAAAATTTTAAAACACAAAAAAATTAATTAATTAAATAGTCATATTAACTGTTGAACTCGGCCAAACACCTAATAGTGGTCAAACAAGTTAAATTTTACTGATAAGCTAACTATGTTAGTTAATGGCAGTATTCAAAAAAAAAAAAAAATGTTAGTTAATGGCATTTTCATTAATGGAATTTACATATGTTAATCATGCTAACTATAGGGAGATAAATTATATGCCAAAGGGCTAAAATTGATATATGGTACTCTTACCTATGTAAGACTAATTCGGATTAGGTATGAGTTATAGTGTTACACCTACATAGTTTGACTTTTACTCTAACTATTTGACAAAAATTAATTCATAACTCTTTAATATAGTGCATACTTTGTTTGAATTTTTAATTTTACGAATGACTAAGAATGATAAAATTAATAAATTTTGTAATTAAAATATAACAATATATAATCATTACTAATTTTTGAAAAAATCACTAAAATCAATAATTAAACCTAGTATTAACCCCATATATCAAAAGAAATTGTTAATTGGTCCTCAACTAAAATTGAAATCAACTTGATTGTTTAATGTCAAAAGACGACCAAGATGGTGGAACTTAGACGTCATCGTTTTGGAGTCAAGGCTTGTGGCGCCGATATGTTTTTATTTATTTATGTTTTTTTTTTTTTTTCCTTCTATACAACTTCCCGGACACTTCACTCCCTTTGACTCCCAACATCCCATTCCATTGTTCTTGTCACTTTTAATATAAACCAAACCTAATTCAACCACTTCAAATTATATATATATATATATATATATATATATATATATATATATATATATATATATATATATATATAGCTTTGAAATAGTAATTCAAATGTGTGAAATATAATTCTCATACATAAAGTTTACGAACTTTTTGTATAGGATTTTCATAATTTTTTTTTGAAGGAAGATTTTCATAGTTTGATTTATCTCTCATGTTTGATTCGCATATTATTATACAATATCGGAATTTATCAATGAGTACACACCATGGAGTAAAGGTTGTGAAATTCACTTGTCACTCAAAATAAGTAAATTGTTTGATTCAATTTATTATTATTTTTTTTTGGGGGTATAATTATAGACATTTTCGAATCCAAAATCTATGATTGAATTAGAAGAGACTTGCATTATCACATACATGGGTATTGTTTGAATTTTCTTAAACATAATAATTATATATTCAGGTTGCGTAAGCAGTGTTAGTGTAATAACGGTTAATGGCATTTCATAAATAAAATTTAATAACAACGTATTTTTGAAATTAGTCGAATGATATAATTCTATAAAACTATCAAATTGAGGAGGGATAATTTTTTTTACTTTTTTTTTTGCTTTTTTTTTTTAAACAATGTATTGTATTTTATAATATTTGAATATGTTAGATTAAGATTGTGATCTTTCAAGTGTGTATCACCACTTTTCTATGGTCAGATTGAGCAAAAGAATCAAAGATATTGACTCTCTAATCTTTCTTTCTCCCTTTCTTCAAAAAAAAAAAAAAAAAGAAATCTTTCTTTCTCCCACGTGATTATTTGATATTTTCCCGCCAAAGTTTTCCGGTTGAACACGTGATTCCGTTTGGTCTCCGACCCCATTCTACCCGACGTCGGATTACGTATGATTCTTTGCTTGGTCTGCTGACGTCATCGTTCTAGATATTTTTAATTTTTTTTTTAAAAAAAAAAAATTACATTAGGTATCTAAGTATCTCACTTTACATTAAACTAATTCTAAATTTCATAATCTCTATCTAATAACTGATGAAAAAGGTAAATCGTGAATCACATTGTTAATCTTTTAAATTTTTTCACCTTTGTATATACACTTTGCATACAAGAGCTTTTACTTTCTTTAGATCAGTCAAGATCTTCTTATAAAGATTCAAACTCCACAATATCGCTGAAAAAAGACTTTGATGATCAATCAAATAAACTGAATTACACTTTTTCGATTTGGACAACATAATGGTCCAATTTTAAAACTGTATGGGTCAAACCCGTAAATACCATTATAGTGACAAATTATTGTGTAGACCATAACAAAAGTATATTTTTAATATACTAAATGTATATTATTTTTGTACTGAGTGTACATTATACAATATAATGTACACTCAGAACAAAAATAATGTACATCCCCTGAATACAATGTACATTATTTTATACTGAAAATGTATATTATTTTTGTACTGAATGTACATTATTTTACAGTAGACAAAATATGGTTAACACAAGTTGTGTTAACCATGATGATTGCCATTATACCTTATTCGGCCTGCATTTTGGGCCACGCTCTATATGGCCTATAACTGATGCAAGCCCACAATCTCTTCCCGCCATCCTGTCCAAAATCCGATCTGAATTGATGCACAACTGACACCTGTGATCTGCGTCCGAACGTCGATCGAGCTCAGAAGGATCATCAGGCAGTTTAATCCAACTTCCGGCGAGCTCAAGTTTTCCGATCGAATGCTCCTTGCCTGGTAAATTCTCTTCTCGATGATTCTGATTTATGATTGTAAAGTTTTGGACCAAAATTCTGCATTTTTCCTTTTCTGTTTTTTATCTGAGGTTTTAGTTCGTCATTGCATCGCGTTGATATTCGGATGGAGAATTTCTTACATAAAGTGAGTTTCGTTGTTTTAATTCGTCAATTGGTTTCAATGATACAATCGGCAGTGGTATATGTTGATTAGAAGTGTATAAAAAACAGTGATGTGATGAATTTAAGCATGCAATGGAATCCATGGAATTAATGGAAGTACATTTCAATTTAGTAGTGAGAAATTAGCGGTTTTCATTATAGTAATGTAATCTTCGTTTTATGATTGAATTTCGATGGGTTTCATCTTTTGCTCTGAATTTTTATACAAAATTATGAGCTAAGATCAGAGATTCTGCAAGTTTGGCATACTGGAGCTTCCTGTGATGCATTAATGGAGCCTTGTAACTTTGTAAGTAATGATACATGAGAAGATGCTATCTTTCTAGAAATGTAAACCAAGACTTGCTTTTACAAGTTTTGGTTAATATATGTAATTATGTTTTACCTAATTCTATGTGTGATGAGTGTATTGAGCTTGCAGTACAAGTATCGGCTTTGGCTTTTATTTGAGACGAAATACATCTTTCAATTGAGTGGAAATTGGATAAAGGTACTCTATAACGTATTTCTTGTTTGATAATTACTTTCTTGCCTTCATTTCTTCAGCTAGGATTTTGGCAAAATGGCTGGCTAAAACCAGTGCTTGAATGTTGCAGAGGACATACCTCTGAGGATTTTGGCAAAAACTTGTTATCTCAGGGCTTGCAACAAGATGAGAACATTATCTTCTGAGACAAATTTCAATTCATTGTCTTCAAGTTAGTTGCACTGTTTCTTTCTACTGCCTTTTCTATGCAGCTGAGACTATAATACACTTCTAGTACACAAATTTTTGTGGTTTGAATAAGATATCCCTCTGTTTGGATGAATTTATTGCCTGCTTTCACAGTCATGCCTGGAAAATCTTGTGGTTCCAATCTGTTGAAACCGTTGTTCCATTCTGTTCTATGCTGTAATTGGCAACTAATGGGCTGTTTGGTTCACGGAATAGGCTTGGAATGGCATAACATTCTCAGTAATAGACCTATTCCTCTATTTGGTAACCACTTGTATTCCCAGGAACATTGTTCCCAGAAATGACCTAAGATTCATGCCCACCCCGGTATTAGGTTATTCCTGAGTTCTCAGGGATAGCCTAAAGTTTCTATTTCCTATTTTACTCCCAATTAAATTTATTTCCTATTTCACCACTGCTACCACCACCACCACCATCACCGCCGCCGCCACCACCACCACTGCCACCATCACATATTTTTATAAGGATATTTATGTCTTTTAAAACATATTTCATTTATATTCCTTAAATCAACCAAACACTGTAATATAATTCCTAAAGTCTATTCCTTTCGCGAACCAAACAATAGAATACAATTCTTATTCTATTCCTTGCCTATTCCACTCCTTATGGAATAACATTCCTATTACTTCAAAATTCATTCCGTGAACCAAACGTGCTGTAAGTGTTTTGTGAACTGCTGTGCTTACTTTTCATTTTTTACCCCTTGATCAAAAGTTTCAGTTCACTAACTTTAGTTGTTGTACCTAATGTTTTTTCAGGCAAATTTTCCACAGCCTGACTCATTGTACATACAATCTGTAACTCGTGCAAGCCTACAAGGATGGGTTTGCCACCTAAACTGAAATTACAAGGTATTCTTGAAACCTAGTGCCAAAGTGGTTTTTTATTTTTTCATGAGTTGATCCAATTCTTAAAGGTCCTCAACTGAACTTGACAGATAGTTGATTAACAGATCAAAACCTGAAATTCTCACCACATATGAGCTTATCTTCATTAACAGCAACTCACATGTCTTAATTATATTACATGTCTCCTAAAAAGTGTCAAATTGAGAAGAAGAAGAAGTAAGCTGGGGACAAAAACTAGCTTACCCTACCATGTTAACTATGCATAATGATCTGCAGCCTGCAGATTGTCTTCTGTCATAGTGATTCTTGAACGATCACCTGCTGGAAATTATGAAATTTCCGACCATCTAAAAGTGATCTTAAATTAAGTCTAAAGTCTTGTTCCGACCACTTTTGGTATCCGGAAAAGTCTTTGTTGCTATTTTTGACCACTTTTTGCTTTCGACTTTTTTAAGCTCACTTTTAGGTGGTCAGAAATTCCATAATTTCCAGCTGTGGTTTGCAGGGATCATTTGCTGAGGAGAGGGAACAGGCGTTCACGAAGATCCGACTGATAAGACAACATGAAGATGAGGATCACAAGAAACAACCCAACACCCCAGGGAGTTCCCCCACTCCTCCGGTAGGAATCTTGGCCCGGTAATGGAATAAAGAAGAGTGACATGTCAAGCCATGAAAGGCAGTGAAGAACAAGGAGAAGAAGCAGAGGAGACACCATTAGTAGCAGCTTGATCTGGTCTATAATGGCCTCAAGAATATGCCCATAGTTGATGTACCATGTGATGCCCACAAACATGAATAGCACAGCAAAGAAGAAACAGAAGTGTAGGGATAAACGAGGTTGAGAAGAATAAGGATTGTTGTTATTGTAGTAGTAGTAGTAATCTGCCATTTTTTTTTCCTCAAAGATAACTGTTCTTGACTTCAGGAAGTTTGGATAAATGGTTTTGTTTAGTGATGATTTGGCTTGCGATTGCAATGGCAATTGTTTAGAGATAATGCAGTCATATATAGTGGTTGGTTCAGTGACGAAGAAGGCAGGATTGAGACTTCTGAACTTTATTTCATAAATTATAAATTATATAAGTACTAATAACTTACATTAAATATTTGTTTTCTTTTCATTATAGGTAACCCATAAATTGGCTTTCCAAAAAAAAAAAAAAAAAAGAAAAAAGAGTAACCCTCAAAGCGGACATGATAGTCCAAAGGTAGCCAAAAGGCTAAATTTAGTCTAAATGTAAATAACAGTAATAGTCTCTAAATTATATAATTCAAACTTTATTAAAAAAAAAAAATGAATTGTATATATACTAGTGCAAATGTACATCACATTTCAATGTAGGATAAAAGCTTCTTCCAATTCTTTCCCGCTCAAATTTGTCTACATTGAGAATCAATTTCTCATTCACCATTATCTATTCTGAGAGTACAATATATAAATTTCATTGTCTCATTTCAAACAATCCAAATCCACTGGACCCAATCAAAATCAAGAGTAGACTTCACATATATTTGTATCATAAAATAGCTACTTAAAATGTCATTTTATCTAAAAATTTCCAACATCATTGCTCATAATCTATCACTAGGAACAAACTAAGCTGTAGATTCAGGCTTACTAAATTAGTTTAATATTACGGAATGCAAATACTATTATAATATGTAAAAGAAACTGATAAAGAAAAGAAAAAACTCCCATTCAATACTCTTTAATAATTTACATCAAGAGGTATATATGTAAAGCCTCTTGATAGTATCGCTAAGAAATGTGTTTGAGATAATAATTTGATAACTAATCAATCAAAATACATAAAATATGGGTGTATTACTTATGAACCACTAGTAATTTATATATATATATATATATATATATATATATATATATATATATATATATCATATTTATATATGTCAAAAATATTATAGGGCTAGTCGGCTAGATTCATGTGTATATACATAGTGTCTTAGAAGTGAAGGATAATAGAGCTGATGTAGCATATGATACTTTTGAGTTTGCATTATAGGAATCTTTCTTTTTTGGATGATCTTCATACATGCATACAATTATATTGGCCGGCCGGCCATAGTATTTATTATCATTTTTTCCTATTTAATGACTTAAAAAAAAGTCTAGATTGACAAATGAGGATCATCAAACATGTATCACGATAAAGGGTAACTTAAATGAAATTTTTTATATTATACGATTGATGGTAACTTAAATGAAATTTTTTATATTAAGAAGGAAGTTGACCCAAGTTTTATTAGGCTAAGAAGGCATGGTGCCCCAAATAAACACCTAAGATAAAATAGAAGGAGTTCGCCCACTGTGTCATGGTGTAAAATAGTAAAGAATACAATCAACAAGGATCAAACCTAGGACTTCCAAAATGGCACACGCATCCCATCCAACCAGATCACTCCATCTCTTGTGTATTAAGGTGTTGGTGCTTATATTTGTTCTGACTATAACAGGCTGCCAGATTTACAAACTTACCACGACTGACCGACGGCGTGGTTCGCTGCCACCTCCGGCCATGGCGCCCCCAGCGGATCTAGTGCGCCCCATGGTGTGGCGACAACGCCCCACCAAAGGGGTGTGAAGGTGCACATGTGCGTGGCTAGGATGGTGAATACGTGCTAATGCAAACGTAGGGACGATGACATGAACACATGTGTAGTAGTCATAAAGGGTGAAGCATCTCCGTCCACTTGGCTTCCATGGAAGCTCTTGAACACTATAAAAGGGGGGTGCCTTGTCTTCTTTTAAGAGATCACGATCTGATCAATATAAGCGCCCTAGTCGAGTCGTTTCTTGTCCATTGTTTCAACCCACCCACCAAGGGTTGATTCACGGCCATTAGCTACACTATTGTCCTTAGTATTTCTTAACCCGTTCTTTGGGATATAATATTTATTATTTGGGCTGTCGTTTTGTGCCAATATCTCAGATTTTGTATTGGGCATAGCAACCCAAACAATAATACTACTATTTTTCTACATACCCCCATTATGTATATTTGTACCTCGTTTATGATTATTTATCAATTGTCTCAAATTGTTGTGCTATAACTATTACTAAAGACAAATATTATTTTTCTTAAATTTATGTCACAACTCACAATGTTCTTATGAATTAGTTGACCCTATAATATTGAATTTTAAAAATGGATGTACTTATACTTTAAAATATTTTTTTGTAAAATATAATCAAAAGGAATGAGTTTGAATTTATGCGCATGTAGTAACACCCCCCCCCCCCCCTCACACACACACACTCTCTCTCTCTCTCTCTCTCTCTATATATATATATATATATATATATATATATATATATATTCATTTTTAATATGATACAACTTAACCGCCCTCAATATAGATTCATTTTTAGTGTAGTACAAATGCATTTTTAGTATAATACTTAAAATTGAACATGTATTATTGACCCACTTTATAATATGAACCATGGTCAGTGATATAATTTGCCCTAGGATCCTATTTAACTAAGAGTTTTGAAAGGGTTGTCCCCGAATCACCGAATGCATGGAGCTTAACAAAGGCTAAACTAAATTAGTTTATTTAGTTTTACTCTTGAACTGATACTAATACCAGTATAATATGCAAAATAAATAAAATTTAAAAATAGTGATTTCAGTACTCAATGAATTATGTCTGTGTCAATAATTGATGATTAAAATTATTATTTTGTATAAATATATGAAAAAAAATATTTTTCCGTTTTTAATTACATATTAATGTGTGTGTGTGTGAGAGAGACTGTGTGTCTAAGATGAGGTCTGATGTTGGGTGTACCATGCGTTTTATTTTATAATGAAGAGTAATAATTTAAAATTGGATAAAAACGACATTATATTGATGACACCCATGACCCAACCCAAGTATTATAAAACTGAATTTTCAGTCCTAGATATTTAAGGTAACATGTTTTTTAGTAGCATATAATATAATTGATCTTGGGCTCCGTTTGGGGATATTATTAGATTGCATGAAGAATTCTTAAATGTTTATTTTTAATCTATTAATAAATTTTAATTTTATTTTTTTTTAAACCACAAGGTATAATAAGCCCTAATTATATAAGACATTTTTAAACCTGTCGATAGTCAAATAAGTTTTAGTGTATTAACTATTTAAAAAGTGTATAACATTATATTATATCAAGATATCGTCTGAGGGATATGTATCGCATAAATTTTATTTGAGTAATAATTTACAAATGACATAAGAGAGATAATATCATACTAAAAATATCATATACAATGACCATATGCTATACTTACTCTGTCACCTGTTTTAAAGCTTTTCACCTTATTTGTATTTTATTAAATTAGTGTTGCTGGATCAAATTAATACATTTTTATATTTCATTTCTCTATTGAAGTGACATTGAACAGTTTTATATAAAATGACTTGATATTTTAAAATATATAATCATTGTTATACGGAGTATTTATTAAGCCATAATATCCTTCACAATTGTCTAATCATTAGTCAAATTATTGTATTTATTTATCTCACGATTAAAGAAATACATAATTAAAAAACACAATAAATTTGTAAAAAGGAATAATCAATACATCACAAATAAATAGTAAATATAAAATCAGAAATGGGTTCGTTAATACACAAGTTAAATAGTTAATACATTTATAATTGTATTATTTAACATCCACATAAGTAAAAAATTAATTTTAAGTGTATAAAAATAAGCACAGTGTCTAAATTATAATTACAACTTATTACACCAAGTCACTTTTTAAGTGTTTAAATTAAAAAAAAAAAAAATAAGCACAATGTCTAAATTATAATTACAACTTATTACACCGAGTCAACAACATATATTTTATATCCCTGTTATAACCATATTCTATTTTGACACTTATATTTTTTGAAATATTCAAAAAAAATTTACAATGTAGTATTTGTTCTATACTTTCTCAAATATTTTTAGCCCCAAAAAATCTACACCCCAACTACTGGAGTTTGAACCTATGACCACCTAATTAAAATACTCCGTAATAACTTTGTTTTAGTGGATTTGCCAATATTTCATCATACTCTCTTAGGCTAATCTTGAATGTTTCCCTTAGATAATGAATATTAATTCAAGAACTAAATTGGTCAAACAGTTAATTTGGTAACTACCAACTTTTATGTTTAAGTGGTATTTAGCCTTCTGATTTAAACAGATCAATTATGAATAATTTATACTAATTTACTTTCTTATGATCCTTTACTAGCTAGGATCACAAAACATGCATCACCTATAGCTTCTCTGGTCTTCATACTTTTTTCATAAACCAAAGCTTAACTCATATTTATTGTTTATAATAAAGTTAAGGGATCATCTCGTGGTTCATTTGGACAGACATGATACTTTCCATATTACTATATGAATTCCTCTTTTTAAAAATAATTTAATACAATCATAATCACATTATTGTGTTATAACTTATAATAATCTACAATGAAATAAAATAGGTAGGAAATAGTGTGGTCCAGGAAGTGATATGAACACATGATTAATCGCCGAAAGTGTAGATCCAAAAGTAGACTATTGGGCAAGTAATTTGGGGGGATGGGGTCCAACCAACTAAACTTAGAAAAACACTACTAGCTTGTATCCTCAACATAATTTGTTAGTGTGATATCATCTTCGTGATACTTATTATATTTTTACTCATTTTTTTTAATGAAGATATATGGAGCATATATGATAATTGCTGATTTTATTATTTTTTTTTATTTCAGTGGTGAATTTATTGACTTGTCATATCAGAAAGTGAATTATGTACAAAGGAACAAGTAACATGTTACACTGAAACATCATCTTACTTGTCACACATGTTCGAGTATCTTCAGCACTTACATGTGACGCGACTGACTTGACTGGCCTATATATAAGTAAGTGCCACGTGCCCATCATCATTGAAAATTTCAACATCTAACACAATAAAGTAAAAATCATTTTGATCCACATAAAAGAGGACTTCATACCAAAAATATACTTAATACTTTCCAACCTATTGAGAGTT